TTTATGTAGATGTAAGTTTTCAATTCATTGGGGTAAATACCAAGGAGCATGATAGCTAGATTATGTTGATAAGAGTATGTTAATTTTGTAACACATTGCCAAACTGTCTTCCAAAGTGGCTGTACCATTTTGCAGCCTCACCAGCGATGAATGAGAGTTCCTGTTGCTCCACATCCTTACCAGCATTTTTCGTTCTTAGTTTTCTGAATTTTGGCCATTCTAATAGGTTTGTGGTAGTATCTCATGGTTGTTCTAATTTGCATTTCCCCAAAGACATATGATGTAAAGCATCTTTTCATATACTTGCTTATTTGCCATCTGTGTACCCTGTTTGGTGAATTTTTAAAATCTTTGGTCCATGTTTAATTATGCTGTTTTTTGTTAAGTTTTTAGAGTTCCTTATATAATTTGGATAATAGTACTTTCTCAGATACGTCTTATGCAAATATTTTCTCTCAGTCTGTGGTTTGTCTTTTCATTCTCTGGACAGTGTCTTTCACACAGCAGAAATACTTAATTTTAATGAAGTCCAGTTTATCAATTCTTTCTTTAAAGGACTATGCCTTTGTTGTCATATCTAAAAAGTCATCATCACACCCAAGATCATCCAGATTTTCTCCTATGTTACCTTCTAGCAGATTTATAGTTGTGCATTTTATATTTACCATCTATGAGCCATTTTGAATTAATTTTTGTAGAGGATATAAAGTCAGTGCCAAGATTCTTTTTTGGTTTTTTGCACACAGATGTCCATTTGTTTGTTCTAACACCATTTGTTAAAAAGACTATATTTTTCTCCAGATGCCAACTGTTTTCATTTAAAATATGTTCACATTATGACTAGAATTTTCAACTGTCATTCTAATTCCATTCAAAAACTGACACAGAGTTACAGTCCTCAAAATTAGTAGGCTAAATAACTACAGGAATAAAGATAAATATTATTTTTAAGATAGACAAATCTGTGTATTCAAACATTTTGCTTCTCTTTTATTCTCTTCAGTCCCATACTTATATATGTGTGTACAATACTCATGTATGTATCACTTCTCCACCTGTTTCTAAGAGCTTTCTACCTTTCTTAGCTCATATTTTCATTCCTTTTCAGCATTCCTCTCTTCTATTTTCTACCCCAATGACAAGTATGGAATATAGTTGCCTTGATTGGCCAGGTTTTATAGATAATCAGGACAGAACTTTGCCTTATTTGGCATTATCCAATCTTGCTCTAATGAAAAAGACCCCTTGGCTTAAGAACTCTGCCAACATCTCTCCAGTCAGGATTAAGTAATATTCATTTTTATCAAAACCTTACTATTAGATATTATATCTAAGTATTGCTCCCATAGGCATACTGCATCTAATAGTAAAGTCATGATTAAAATGATGTGTACCATGTAGAATGCTGAGTTTCAAAATGCCTTGACAAAACTCCACACCAAAATATGCATTTATATTAATTTTGAGTAAAGGATGGTGAGGACTGATTTGTCATGGAGAGGGAACTAGATTAAAGACAAGTAACAAGAAGACCAAGGGTTACTTTTTATGCTTGGGATAAATACAGAGTAGAAATTATAAACAGGGTCTGCAAGAATAAATGCTGGAACTAGTCTTATGTTATGAATGACCCCAAAAGAGTGTACATAAAGGAATCTCTATGATTTCAAATGATACTGACATACTTTGAAACCTGTAAAAATAAGAAGGCAAATCAAAATGATTTTAAGGGATGGCACCCTCTAAGGGAAAAGTTTTTGTCATAGAAAAGAACACAGGAGCAAACCCAATATTTCTCTTTATAAAAAATGACATCACCACCATTTTCCTCCAGGGATTGTGTGCGCATCTCATTGCTTTAACAACAATATTTATAATAAGCTAGAAAAATATATTTAAATTAGGGTTCAGATCATTTAAAATAGAGAAAGAATAAATGGGCATCAGGGCCACAAATCAATGTCTTACACATACATGACCAAAAAATCCACTGAGCAAAACAAAACATGCCATCCTTATAAACACTGACTCACTAACCGAAGAAAACACAAACACTGGTAAGAAGGAAGACTGAAAATATGAATTCTCATTTTATGTTTTCAAATGGTTAGTTCTATATCAGAGAACTCAATGAGGAACAATAAAAAAATTAATAATGAATTTGGACACTTTGGTGATTTGAGAGTTAGTCTGGGCAAGAGAATGGGAGTCATTATAAAAGCATTTTTGCTAAGAGTTCAAATTTTTGCAGCAAGCTTGGTGGCCAAGTTTGGCGACATGACATTAGTATCATAAAATTGTAGAGTACTTGGAAAGCAGTATATTACACTGGAGATAACTACACTGGTTTGGCAGGCCTGGATACTTTTATTAGGAGACATTTCCACTGCAACAGCAAATACAATATTAAAGAGACCAGATCCAATTTTCAGGATGTTTATGATCAATATATTGTATGTCATTTCCTGTGACAGGAATCTGTAAGCCATGTCTCTGTGTGCAAGTATATCCATATTATATGACTGAAAGTATATAAATTATTTCTGTAGGCCAAGTGCCTATCTGTATGCACAGCACCAGCTCTGTTGAGATGCAAAAAAGCAGTGTGGAAGGACAAAGCCAAAAGCTCACTAGGCCAAATAATGGTGATAATCACATCAATTCCTTATCTTTACTCACTAAATTGCTTCTAAAGGATGGAGAAAAGAAAGGAAGAAGAGTCAATAAAATACTGGGCATATCATGTAATCAATCTATTTTTTCAGAATATCTTTATATACATACACATACACATACACATATTGTGTGTGTGTGTGTGTGTGCCTAGAGAGAGGGAGAGAGAAAAAAAATGCATGAAATAGGCACACCCAATAAATTGTACACAAAACAGCCATTTTCACATACACATGTCTGTCATGGCCAAGGAGAGATAAGTGATACACACATTATATGTCTGAAGGTCATCATTAAGTATGCTAGATGGCATATTTTGTGGAATAAAGATGGCTTTATAAATCTAATTCATAACAAGTAAAAGTCCTAATATTGCTTAATTGATTTATTTGGTATTAGTAATTGTATGAGAAACCTTGGATATTATAATGGTTTATCATGGAGAAAACTAGTGGTCTAGGCAAATATTTTACATCTAAGACCTCAAGAGTACAGGCAACAAAAATAAACAAATGGGACTAAATTAAACTAAAAGCTTCTGCACGGTAAAAGAAATGATCAACAGAGTGAAAAGCCAACCTGTAGAATGGGAAAAAGATATTTGAAAATTATTAGTCCAACAAGGACCAATATCCTGACTATTCAAGAAACTCAAACAACTCAACAGCAAAGAAAACCCCAAATAATCCCATTTAAAAAGGAGCTGAATAGATATTTCAAAAAAATGACATGACATGCAAATGACCAACATCACTAATCATCTAATAAATGCAAATAAAAAACACAATGAAATATAATCTCACCCCAGCTAGAATGGCTACTATTAAAATGACAAAACATAAATAACAAATTCTGGCAAAAATCCAGTGAAAAGAACATTTGAACACTGTTGGTGGGAATATAAATTAACACAACCATTATGGAAAATAGCATGAGAGTTTCTCAAAAAAATAAATAGAACTACTATATGACTCAGGAATCCCACTACTGGGAATACATCCAAAGAACATTAAACCAGTATACCAAAGGGATAGCTGTGCCTGCATGTTTATTGCAGCACTATTTACAAGAGCCAAGGTATGAAATCAATCTAAGCATCCATCAACAGATGAAAATAATAATTTGTTGTATATATATATAAAATGGAATGTTATTTGTCCATTAAAAAGAATAAAATTTTGTCACTTGAGGTTATCAGGTTAAGTGAAATAAGTCAGGCACACAAAGACAAATGTCACAGCTCTCACTCATATGAGGTAACTAAAAATGTTGATCTCATGGAGATACTATATAGAATGATAGACACCAGGGGCTGGGAGGAATATCATGGAGTTCAGGTGAGGGAGCTATGAAGAGAGGCTGGTTAATAGGTATAAACATACAATTAAATAGAAGGAGTAAGTTATACTGTTCAACAGCACATTAGGATACTGTAGTTAACAATAATTTATTGTATATTTCAAAATAACTAGAAGAGTTGAAATGCTCCCAACACAAAGAACTGATAAGTGTCTAAGATGATATTCTAAATACCCTAATTTGATCATTATACACTGCATGCATATATCAAAACAGCACATGTACCCCATGAATATATATATATTATTATGTATCAATAAAAAAACTTCTGATAAATAGAATAAAGGAAAGAAATAAAGAGTCTATTTGAGGCATCTACAACTCTCAAATTAGCCTTCCTAATTTTAGAGATTACCATGTAGATTTATGTCTAAACAGAGGTTTAGTGGCTTAGTTTCCCAGCACATATACTTCTCCTGCTTAGTAGAGAGATGGAGTTAGTATGCCAAATCTATGACTTTAAATTCATTTCTATGTCAGTAGAATATATTGCCTTAAATAGAGGGTTGTAAGGTAATATGATGTTGAGGCAAAAGCAGAATGGCAAGGAAGAAAGTTCAATCTGGATACAAGTCTTTAAGACAAGCAGAACACAGGAAAAAAATGGCATTGAACCAGAAAATTGTTTCTCACATGTGGAATAATACTTTTTTGTATTCCTGAAACTATCTTTATGGTACCTTGACAGAATAAACTGTTTCAAATTTCTATGAACTAATGAAATAAATAAGTGTGGCTCCAGAAAACATAAATGAATGAAGCTACTCTATAAAGTGCAAAATAAAAGGACACATTTTTTTAATATACTTCAAGTTCTGGGTTACATGTGCAGAATATATGGGTTTGTTACATAGGTATACACATGCCATGGTGGTTTGCTGCACCCATCAATCCATCATCTACATTAGGGATTTCTCCTAATGCTATCCCTCCCCTAGTCCCCCCACCCTGGACATGCCCCAGTGTGTGATGTTCCCCTCCCTGTGTCCATGTGTTCTCATTGTTCAACTTCCACTTATGAGTAGGAACATGTGGTGTTCAGTTTTCTGTTCTTGTGTTAGTTTGCTGAGAATGATGGCTTCCAGCTTCTTCCATGTCCCTGCAAAGGACATGAATTCACCATTTTTTATGGCTACACAGTTTTCCATGGTGTATATGCACCACATTTTCTTTATCCAGTCTATCACTGATGGGCATTTGGGTTGGTTCCAAGTCTTTGCTATCATGAACAGTACCACAATAAACATACCTGTGTGTGTGTGTCTTTATAATAGAATGATTTATAATCCTTTGGGTATATACCGAGTAATGGGATTGCTGGGTCAAATGGTATTTCTAGTTCTAGATCCTTGAGGAATCACCACACTATATTCCACAATGGTTGAACAAATTTACACTCCTACAAACACTTTAAAAGCATTCCTATTTCTTCACATCCTCCCCAGCATCTGTTGAAAGAAACATTTTTATGAGGAAACATAAATATGCTAAATTTTTCACAATCACATATGTACAATTTTATCTCTTTAGAAAAACACAAGTTATTATATTTAACTTCTTGTCACTTTTCAGTGTAAAGGAAAGTTACAGACCAAGGGCTCTCCTCTTCAGCAAAAATACAGTAGATCCTGGTATGGCAAGTGATGTGACAATCTGCATGTCTATGCAGTCTTACAGGCAGAGAATCTATCAGAGCCAGTCAAGATGCTTTGACTCATTACTTCAGATTTCAGCTCAGTACACTGAATCAATAACATTTTAAGATATCTGTGAGTTCTGGAAATTATATTTTGATTGCTCAAAAAGGCAAGTGAATTTTTCACACTTGTTTACTTTGCCTGGATTAGGTCAGAGTGTATTAGCATCATAGTTACAAGTGTAAGTGGTACTCATACTGCTTTTATATTTTTACTAAAATGTCCTCAAATAATTGTGTTTATGGAATTCTTCAGGTTGGCATATGTTGCTTTCCATTCCTCTTCTACTCCTAGAATGCTGAGAAGATCTGAAATATAAAAACCAAGTACTATTTGCACACATTTATATTAATTCAGTGTTTGTACATTATATATAACACTGGCAAATACTTATTCTCATCATGCAACCAAATATCTGACCTTGTCAGTATCAGCCCCAGTTCAGGACTAGCATATGGTGGCATCTTTCCTTCCTGCTTCCTCAGTTCTGATGGTCACACCCTGATGGCCAAACCTCTGAACTACAAAATCCATGTCATGATCAAAAGCAGCCTGAGATAAAGCAGACCTACCTTGTTTAATACAGAATACTTTGAAGATCCCATGGAAGGCAGAGGAGAAGGTAGAGGAGAGAGGGTAATAGTTGCTTAAGACTTTGAATGACATTTTGTTTTTAGGTAAATATTACATACAGCCTGGGCTTGGTGGCTCAGGCCTGTAATACCAGCACTTTGGGAGGCTGAGGCCAGGACCCTCTACTGGAAAGGAGAAAGAAATACAACCAGCATTTGTTAATTTTTGGCTGGGTTCTGAGTACTCTGCTAGGTACCTAAATATGTTACCTTATGTAATCATCCCCATCAGATTGGTAATATCCTCACTTTTCACATGAGGACACTTATAATAATTCAATGACCATGACCCTCAACTAGTAAGTTAACAGGGATATCATTCAAATTGTCTGCATGATGTCAAAACACATGATCTACATTGCATCACCCCTTCCTCTAAAACAGGAGAAAAGTATCAAGACAGAGGTATGTGAATGTGTGTTTTTAGGAAGAAAGGAGTGGTGACATTGGCACTGTAAATCTCTGATAATCACAATGTTCTCTGAGAAGGCTACTAAAAGGGGTTGGAGTGGTGGTGAAATGGGGACTCATAAAAGCTGGTATAGTGCCTCCAGTTTTCCGAATTTAGACCAAAGGACAAAGCAGTTCAGAATGTGGCTAAGAGAAATAGGGAATTTCTAGTGACTCAAGCTCATCATTTCAAAGTGTTTACCCTAATATTCAGAAACTCAGACATAGGGTTTAAAAAGGTGAAGTATCATGTACCAAAATACCTCAGTAAAATCTGAAAACAAATCAGCTATTAGAGACAGAGAGATAATGCTTGAAGGGAGATTGTTGTAGACAAAGGAAGAGCTGGTGACCCAGGCGTGAAATACCATTTGAGCAACATTCAATAGGTAAGTCAGAGGCATGGCTGGTAATTCAGGGGCATCGGGGGCCTCAGAGCTGCTGGAGACTGAAGAGCTAAATGAGGAACAGAGGGTAATTAGTGTGAGATATTCACAGTGATGTCCCACTTTTTATCAGCAGAAGAAGGAACCTGTATATCGCCAGGAGAGCTGTATAATTGACCCATTAAAATGTGGCCTCCTGACTATATTGACAGGCTGAGGGAAACAGCTAAAAGGGTGAGACTCCTTCAAGGTTGAGGGATCTTGGGATATACATAGATGAAACACAAACGAGTAAAAGGAAGGGGTAGGGCAGGCATGGTGGCTCACACCTGTGATCCCAGCACTTTGGAAGGCCAAGGAAAGTGAATCACTTGAGTATAGGAGTTTGAGACCAGTCTGGCCAACAGGCGAAACCCCATCTCTACTAAAAATACAAAAATTACAAAAATTAGCTGGGTGGCATGCACTTGTAGCCCAGCTACTTGGGAGGCTGTGGCATGAGAATCACTTGAACCCAAGAGGCAGAGGTTGCAGTGAGCTGAGATCATACCACTGCACTCTGGCCTGGGTGACAGATCAAGACTCTGTCTCAAATACATACATATATGTTGTATGTATTTGAGACAGAGCAGAAATGAACATGATATCTGCTGTATTTCAAGTAGCATATATGAGTTTTAAGGGACAATTCACAGTATTTCATTACAGGATTCTCCTATAGGCAACTTTTCCCACTGTCTGGTTTATTTCAATAGTGACTTTCTGTTTATAAATAAAATGCTAAATTGAACGTCAAAAAAATTCAAAATTCAAAAAAAAGAAAGGGGTAAAAGGAAGAAGAAATGTTGGAAAAAATCAGAGTTTGCAATTCAGACAAATTGGGAAGGAAAGAATATAGACCATAAGGTCATGAAAAACTGAAGAAGTTTATGAGTGTGGTTCTATATCAAAATTCCTAAACTTTTCTAAATGCTTTGTTGATTTTCTTAATACCATATTCCTACCCTTTCAGAGTTCTTGGTCCCTGTGGATCTTCAGAGCCCTAATATTTAAATCATATCCCAGTTTTCCTTTCCATGCCCAGTTTCTTTTCTCAAAATTGCTTCAGACAGAAATACGAAGGATAAGACAGAACTCAACAGAAACAAAATAGACAATAGGAGCATTGCTAAGAGACGGGAGTACAGTTCAGTCTTTGACAAGACAGAATGAAAGATGTTGAGAGGCCTATGAGAAGATGTAACTGAATGTGTGTCTATACTACACAACAAATTTAAGTAGATAAACATGTGCCCCAGGGCCTAGGTTAAATAGAGAATAAAGAAGAGACCATAATAGCTGTATGTAAAGGAGTTGCTAGTAATCGGGCACCTACATAGATCAAAGGAAGATCAATTATGTGGGGAAGATTAAAAATACTCAGCAATCTCTGCATCCGGAAACTTTGTGCTTAATTAAATATAGCTCTACTTTCACCAAATTACAAACTATATAAAATACTATCATAAGTGCATCAGACTCTATCAAGCTTGGTACTAAAATTGTACACTCTTTCAGTATGAGAGTAGTTATAAAGCAAGAAATCTTGCTTTAAATGGGAAGATTAACAACCAATTTGTGTTACAAGTTCTGTAACCACAATCAATTTGACACTCTCCAATAATGACAAATTAGGAAAAAGAGGCCAGATCCTACACAGATAAATGCAGATATACTACACATGCCAAAACCCAACAGGCTGAAAAGTCTTAGCCATATTAATTTAGAGCTATGTTAACATGAAGAGGAAAGTGATTGGACAGGAACAGTGGCAGCCCTAAATTTTTTATATACAACGGGCTTAAAATAATCCAGAATATTGAAATGGAGTATATATAACAAATACTCTGTACTAAGATGATATGTTTATGTGAGCTGGCTTGTTGGGCAAGGGCTAATAGAATTCAAAAGAGTTAAAGCCCTTTTCCTAACACCATTTGATACAACCACAAAACGTAACTAGTATTAGCAGAATCTTGTTATTCAGTACATGTAATAACTTTTAGCTTTTAATCATCAACATTCGCTTTCCCTTCTAAAAAAAACAAAGATCTCAAGCCAAAAATATTTACTGGCTACATCACTATGCTGAGATAGGATATAGAGGATGCTTACCTTACTGAGCATTGCCTCATATGCTTGAAACTCACATTAGAGCTACAAACCATGGGCCAATCTACACAAGTGGCTAATTATCAAGGCTCCAGGGAAAGAGCTTCCCACTTGGAGCCCCATTATAATGTCTAAGCAACACTATTAGAAAGAACACTTTATTTTGTAATCCCCATGTTTAACAGTAAACACTGTTTTTCTGTGATGTTGTCCGAAACCTATTAACTGCCAATGATACCACCAGGATTAATTTCTCAGAAGCACCACATTAAGAAACAATTGTATCCAGTGTTTCCCTAACATTTTGTTATTCCATATGATTCAATGAAGAGCAATAGTAATATATGAAACCTTTACAATATATGCAATTCAAAGGCCCACATTATCAGCAGTAGTTGCCAAGGCCCAAGTGAGTTAAAGTTCTTAGGAGTAGCACTGAATCACAGATACTAGGCAGCCCTGAAGATTGGTGTAAGCACCAGCCCCCAAGATGGCTCCAGTATACTGACCTCCAAGTAGTCACACCAGTGTGTAGCCCCTCCCACATGTAACCAGGGCTCACCTAAGGAACCAACAGAATACCTACAGAAGTGCACGTGTAATACTTCCAAATCCAGATCACAAAAGACATTAGGGTTTCGGCTTTGGCCTTTCTTAGATCACTAACTCTGTGGGAAGCCAGCGTCCATGTCATGGAAACACTCAAGCAGTACTGTGACAAGGCCTTGGTAGGAAGGAACTGAGGTCTCCCACCAACAAACAAAACACACTTAAAAGCCATGTGAGTGAATCACCTCAATAGCAGATTCTTGGATTCCTGTTAAAACTTCAAATGGCAGCAGCCTGGGCTGGCATCTCAACTGCTACCTCATGAGAGACATCTGAGCTATAACTATCCAGCTAAACATCCCTGAATTCTTGATCCAGAGAAATGCTGAGAGAAGGGGAAAAATACTTATTTTCTTCTTAGGCCATTTTGTTTTACAATAACTCGTGACATAGTAATAGATCACTAATACAAGTGGGTTCTATCCTTTTCATTTTGACATCCTAAAGTCTGAGTTAGGTAATCGTCTTCTGTGTTTCAACAATATCCCAAGATTATATCTGTTTTGTCATTTATCATCCTTTATTGTAAATGTTTCCTTATCTGCCCCCTCTAGATTAAAGGCACTCTGAAGGTAAGCATTGTGTTTCTTTGGAGCAAATTTCCAGTTACATTTCAGGGGTACAATAAGTATTTGTTATCTACAACATGAGGCTGAGTATGTAAAAGTAGTGAACAACACATGCACATTAGCTATTGAATGTCAAGGAAAACATAAATGTTGACAAACCGGTGATAACAAGTAAAATCATCAATTCAAGCTGGTCACAAGTTTCAGGAGCAGTCTCACGACAGCAGTAACCTTTCCAGAGATCAATTACAGATACTAATCTAAGGACAAATTCAGTTCAAAGTCAGCGGGAAAGTGACTAGCACTTAAAAAACAGGCTCAAAATAAAGGTTACTTTAATGAACACTTATTGGACAAATGAAATAAGTTGATTTTAGATGGTTTTAGGGAGCCACCTCAGACTGCAGTGACTATTAAAGCATAGCATTATAAAATGAAGAACAATATATACAATGCTTACTTTTCACATGAAATAATGAGTTTATTAAAAACAACATCACTGGCCGGGCGTGGTGGCTCACGCCTGTAATCTCAGCACTTTGGGAGGCCGAGGCAGGCGGATCACGAGGTCAAGAGATCAAGACCATGGTGAAACCACGTCTCTACTAAAAAATACAAAAATTAGCTGGGCGTGGTGGTGCATGCCCGTGGTCCCAGCTACTTGGGAGTCTGAGGCAGGAGAATTGCTTGAACCCAGGAGGCAGAGGTTGCAGTGAGCCAAGATTACACCACTGCACTCCAGCCTGGTGCCTGGCAGCACAGCAAGACTCTATCTCAAAAAAAAAATCACTTAAAATGGTGGCTGCTTTTGTAGCAGGCATACCAATAAGTGTCTGTCTGTTGAACCACCATATCCCCAAAACCAAGGATAGCAGTGGTGGAGAGTAGGTGCGGAGTCAAGTTTTATAGAAGGACTCAAAAAATCTGAAAATGTTTTCAGTTTCCTTCACAAGGGTTTTTTTATGTGATTGGAATGAAATTATATCCAGGCTTCCAGATCAATCACTAGGTTAATAGTAGGGTAGTGTCAGACCCGGACCACTGGATTGTCATTGACACATTGTGATAACAGTCCTATGTGAATATTCATTCTAATGACAACCTAATATTACACCTTCTATAATCATGCCTTGGTTTTGGAATCTAAGAGACCTTTGATTTCTAATACACAAAAACAGATTTTATACCTCTCAAAAAATGACCCTATCTCCAAAGGGCTGCATGTAATCTTCAGACCATTAAAGAAAGGGTTAGAGATAGCACTTTAGTGTCTGATTCTAGGTATCCAGGCCTGATGTGTCTGACACTGTGAAGCCCAGCGCTACCTCAGGGCCTTCCCTGGTCCTTCTCCCAGAATCAGATACTTCTAAAGCAGGATGTCCATGAAGGGAGACATTTTAAATAATAATTGTATTTTATTTAACTATCTCTTAATCTCTTATTGGGGATAAAAGTTGAAAAATCACCACATGCTCATTGCTGTTTTAAGCCATTTTGAAGAATCAAAGATTAATTTTGGCTTTGATTGACAGGCCACTTGGAAGCCTCATTCATTTCTCTCTGCAGCACTTGGGTCTCTACAAAAACAAATGTTTTGCCATCATTCAGAATTGTTGCAACTGTTAAGAATCACAAAGACTGAATATGCTCACTTAATCCCCAAATCCATTATAGTTTTATTGTGCCAAATTCTAGTTCTATGTAATGCTCTCAAAATTTCCCGAGGATTATATAAAACAAGAATCAAATATAATACTGTCTCAAACACAGGAACTATTATCTAAGGATTTCAAAGCATTTTATAGCTGAGGTTAAGTGAGTTACTGAAGGCTGCCCAAAAAATCAGCAGATTAGGCCCAAATTACCTAACTCTAAATTCAACCTTTTTTTCAAAGCATAATACACTGAGACTTGTTATGTCAGTGCTAGAGGAACTGTATGCTATACTCACAGGTAGATATGCATTCTTAACCATTCTTATTAAAAGAATGAACACATACAATCTAACCTCTCCACCAAAAGTAAACAAATAAAAATATTCTTTCCTTTTAGAAAAAATAGGCAACAGAATGAGGCTAAACCTACTGCCTAGCAAATACCATCTTGTCTCAAATAAAATTGATAGGAATGTGTTAAAGTAGAAAACTAAATTATGTATGTGAAACCAGATCTAAGTCAACTTGCTACCTTTCATATTGAGAGAGTTTCTGTATTTGAGTTCATTGATACATTCATAGGGCTGCTTGGTGCTCTCAGTTTAATATACAGCTAGCTTGATAGCTGCCCTGACAAAAAGCTAAAGGATTTAATTTTAAATTGCTATCAATAAATATTTGCTGGAACAAAATATTAGACATATGAAATTTCACTCATTACATATAATTTTCTCCAAAATAATAACTTTCAGCATGAATTATATTTCCTCTTTGAAAATGCAAAATTGTCACTAATCCAGATGGGCAACTCTTCCAGATTTTAGATTGCAGGTAATAAAACTTACTTTCTAACAGAGTAATATAGAGCCAGCTGGTTCCAAAGAACTGAATCATCTGGTAAAACATGTATTTAAAGGAATAGATTACAACTCTGAACATCTTGGACAAAAAATAAAAAAGTATTCTGTCTCTCCCTGGGATCTGAGCTTTCAAATCAACCTATCCAAAAGGAATTCAGTACATGTATGAATCAAAATGTCAAGATAAAATTATAACAATAGACAAGACAGCCCTAAAATAAGATGAATGCTCACAATTTCTAAGCCCTGCAATTTCTTGAATTCACCCACTGTTTCACACTCATTCAACAATCTGATCAATCAAGTTTTTTTTTTATTTTTTATTGGATTATAGGTTTTGGGGTACATGAGCAGAGCATGCAAGACAGTTGCGTAGGTACACACATGGCAGTGTGCTTTCTTTTCTTCTCCCCTTCACCCACATTTGGCATTTCTCCCCAGCCTATCCCTCCCCACCTCCCCCTCCCACTGGCCCTCCCCTTTTCCCCCCAATAGACCCCAGTGTTTAGTACTCCCCTTTCTGTGTCCATGTGTTCTCATTTTTCATCACCCACCTATGAGTGAGAATATGCGGTGTTTCATTTTCTGTTCTTGTGTCAGTTTGCTGAGGATGATGTTCTCCAGATTCATCCATGTCCCTACAAACGACATAAACTCATCATTTCTGATTGCTGCATAATATTCCATGGTGTATATGTGCCACATTTTTCCAATCCAGTCTATTTTCAATGGGCATTTGGGTTGATTCCAGGTCTTTGCTATTGTAAACAGTGCTGCAATGAACATTCGTGTACATGTGTCCTTATAGTAGAACGATTTATAGTCTTTTGGATATATACCCAGTAATGGGATTGCTGGGTCAAATGGAATTTCTATTTCTAAGTTTTTAAAAATAGAGAGCAGGCCAGGTATGGTGGCTCACGCTTGTAATCCCAGCACTTTGGGAGCCTGAAACAGGTGGATCGCCTGAGGTCAGGAATTTAAGACCAGCCTGGCCACATGGCAAAACCCCGTCTCTACCAAAAATACAAAAAAATTAGCCAGGCGTGGTGGGAGGTGCCTGTAATCTCAGCAACTTGGGAGGCTGAGGCAGAAGAATCATTTGAACTGGGAGGTAGAGGTCACAGTGAGCCGAGATTGTGCCAGTGCACTCTAGCCTGGCCAACAAGAGCAAAATTGCATCTCAAAATTTAAAAAATTTAAAAATAGAGACCACATATTCAAACATAAATGGATTTTTGTCATCCAGCTATTCCTCAGTAGACAGAATGAAGATGTGTTCTATACATGCATCTGTGATATAATTATTACTGACAGTAAATATAGCAAAAGTCTTTCTCAGATAGTTTTGAGAATTTGGTGCCAATTCCAATGGGAATGTAAAAAAATGTATTAGTGCTAATGATACTTACATCTATATTATGTCATATTAAATTAGCAACAGCTAATGTGTCTGGTTCCCAAATATTCACATAAAAAGTAATGGTTTAAAAACATAAAGGCAAAACTAAAATGAAAAGGTTAATAATTTAAAAAGTGATGGTATCTTGACAGATTATTGCAACCAGTTCTTACAAAGCTTACAGAAGCAACCAGGAATTCAAGAGAAATGTATAGTTTTCAACTAGAATGACTCAAGGCATTGAATCTTTACAGCCCCAGCTATCCATGCTACAGTGAGTTCATGAACTAAAACCAAGTTTTCCACTAAAGCATATTTTCTTTTTTTTTTTTTGAGACGGAGTTTTGCTCTTGTTACTCAGGCTGTAGTGCAATGGCGCGATCTCGGCTCACCGCAACCTCCGCCTCCTAGGTTCAGGCAATTCTCCTGCCTCAGCCTCCTGAGTAGCTGGGATTACAGGCACGTGCCACCATGCCCAGCTAATTTTTTGTATTTTTAGTAGAGATGGGGTTTCACCATGTTGACCAGGATGGTCTCGATCTCTTGACCTCATGATCCACCCACCTCGGCCTCCCAAAGTGCTAGGATTACAGGTGTGAGCCACCGCGCCCGGCTGAAGCACCTTTTATTTTATCATAGAAATAAAAACAATGAAAACAGAAATTTGATGAGACAATATTTTTCATCCAAAGCAAATGTTTCCATTTTATATTTGTTTCAATTAGCTTTTACTTGTATACCAAATAGTCCCCAAACTTAATGACTTAAAATAACAATCATGTTTATCTCCTATAAGTCTGTTAATTGCCTGAGTAAATCTTCTGGTCCTCACCAACTTGGCTAAGACTGAATAATCTAGTACGGTCCACTCAGGTGTTGAGGGTTGGCAGGCAGGCATGTTGGTCTAGAGAGAGACCTGAGCTAGGACAGGTCATATGTGTTTCATATGTTCTCTCATCCTCTAGTACAGGGATGTCCAATATTTAGGCTTCCCTGGGCCACACTGGAAGAAGAATTGTATTGGACCACACATAAAATACATTAACGATAGCTGATGATTTTTTTAATCACAAAAGAATCTCATAATGTATTTGGAAAGTTTACGTATTTGTGTTGGGCTGTATTGAAAGGTGTCCTGGGCCACATGTGGCCCATAGGTCGTGGGTTGGACAAGCTTGCTCTAGTAGGACATTCAGAGTTTCTTTATACAGAAGTCTCAGGGTTCCAAAGAATAGCAAAATAGAGTAAGCTCCAACATGTAAGTGTTTATCAAGCCTTTTCCAGTGTCCAATTAACCAAAGTCACATTGTCAAGTTCAGCTGCAAGAGTAAAGAAAATTGACTCTATCATTGGAGGATGGTTAATGGGTACAAAAAAAATAGAAGCAATGAATAAGACCTACTATTTGACAGTACAACAGACTGACTATAGTTAATAACAACTTAATTGTATATATTTAAATAATTAAAAGAGTATAATTGGATTGTTTGTAAGGCAAATGACAAATTATTCAGGTGATGGATATCCCATTTTCCATAATGTGATTACTTCACATTGCATGCCCATATAAAAACATCTCATGTACCTCATATATATACCTAATATGTACCCCAAAATTTAAAATAATGTTTAAGAAATAGACTCCATCATTGATATTTTTTCCAACTAACCATACTATCTTCAACTTTCAGTTAAAAATCAATAGCCTTATTCAGGGTTTGAGATACAAGAAAATCTTTCTTATGCCAGTGATAATGTTACTTCTCTACTTCTGAACTGATGCTATAAGCTCTCTTTCTGTTTCATAGTCTTTATTTCCTTTCTCTTCCAATCTTTCCTAGAAAGTGAACAAGTAAAGAAAGCAATGAATCAGGTAACAGAAAATATCAATATTAATGTGAGAGAAGAGAGGACTATTATGCATTCCTTAATAACTCAAGCCAAGAAAAAAAATCCAGGCATTTTTAATTCCCTTTATATCCCATGGATGTGACTTAAGCATAGCTCTAGATTTCAGGGGAAAAAAATGAGATACTGGTCATTAAAATTAGTAAATATAGAGGCAATTTGAGATCTAGGATAGGCAATTTATTTTTATCAAGTAATGGAAAAATGAGGTTTTTCTCAATATTGGGGGAAAAAAGGTAAATTATCCTTAGTATGGAAAACTAAGGTAGTTCAATTTTTTTATAATACTATTTAGAGGCAATAATTTAAGAGCTAATGCCAAACATAATTCAACTTGCTTTGCTAATATTATTAAAGCAATGAAAATCTAGTTTTTAGAAAGAGCAATAATATAATGGCAGCCATTTTTTTCACACAACCTGATCAAGAACACTTCATCAGGCGTAAGTGACAAGAAAGAGTTTCATTACCATCCTAATGGCAATTAAATAACCACTGACATCACTGGTAGGATATGTCTTTCATCACCATTTCAGATTTCTTGAAATAGCAGGAAACGTGATTTTGTTATTGTAGTGTTATGCAGTTAGGGTGTATAAGGGTCCCATTAAAGTAAAAACGGAGCATGAGTTTTAATGACAATCACCATCACTTTCTTGTTTGAGACAAAGTGAACTACAGGCATTTGATCAAAACCCCAACTAGACTTATAAGGTATCTTTTTCTTGTCAGTGAAATCATTTTTACTCCATTATAGAATCAGTTATTCCAACCTAATAATATAGGCAGTGAGCTGCAGGGTTTAAAGTAGAGCTATGCATGTGGAAGTAAGAATAATCCAAAACATTTTTCCACTGGTATCTGAAGATATCACATTTCTTACTTTTGCCTTTAACCCCACTCCTAACCATTTTTCTTTTATTTGGTCAATACATAATAGAATCTTCATGAAATGTTTTTACCTTAAAAACTCAAAACGCAAAATAACATATAATTTTGTGATATTTCATTTAACTCAGTAATTGTTTCCATATTTTTTGGCTCTCTCTAGCTAGTGTCAAACTGTTTTGATTATTAGCTGATGTAAATGAGAATTTTTCCCCCTGTACACTGCTATTCAGCTTTCATTTAATAGCAGTTATTTCCTCTGATATCACAGCTTGCAAGTACTGCTTAACCATTTAATTCATGTACTTCAGATTTCTGACTTCACAGCAAAGTAATCCTGTATGGAAGTCTATCTGTACTCCCAGAAGAAATTATATCCATTGGCAGCTATGGTGTCCTTCAGAATTTAAAGAAAAAGAGACCACCATGATTGCAAAAATATTATGGTGCTCTCATTCTCCTGAAAATATGAAAATTCACAGACAAAAGAGTGGATGGCATACTGCAGTTACTCTTCTTAAATTATGGCCAAGTAAAATATTTTTGCCAGGCTTAAAAAATCTTCCTACCCAAAGAATCTAGTCAGTTAAATGTGACCAGAATTATTTTATACTTTTGTTTGTATATTTATTTATATTTGGTTTTGCTCCAAAAGTCTACAGTAATAAGCACATAAAATTTAATGGTATCTCAAGTAGACTTCAAACTCCTTAGCGAGGTTTAGCAGAGTTAGGAATTTTTTCAAACTTCTACAAAAATTAGGTTCAGACTACAACTGACAAAGGTTCTTGATACAAGAAGGAATATGGCCCAGAAGATACCTCAGATCTCATTTGGATCTAAATTTGACTCTCAAGTGGCCTATGGCAGAACCACACTGTATGTGTTTACCCTTAGCAATTAACCTTCTACTCCCTTTTCTTCTCTCCTCACCTCAAGAGCTAATCACATTTAAAGTTAATTTTAAACGAGGACTCAAAGGAAATTACTACAACAATCCCACCTTCTTAATTAAGTCTCCTCACTCAAACATATACATTCACTTGACCGAGAGCTGAGGCCACTGTAGCTCATTCTCAGAAAGCTTCATCCCTGTCATCCAACTGCACACGCATGGTTGGCCAGTTTATGCCTGCACTGCCTTAATCTTTAAGAGACTATTGAGCATCTTGGCTGCTTCCAAAGTGACCTCAGAGTTTTTGCCAGATCAGTATTTTTGAATTTTTCCTCAAAGAAGACCTAGATTTCTGGAGTCAGTCCTGCTACCCACCTGAATTTCAGGGCATTCTTTGACCTAGGAATATTCCCAGGCGAGAACAGTTATCCAAGGTCCATGGCAGTCAAAACCCTGCTACTCCCAAATATGAATAGCTTATAAGAAATCACAAATATTAGGAAAAATTCAATGGAGCATCCACCTCAGTGGCATATTCCATGGAC